TCGTTACTGGGGCCTGGGGGCATCTCCTTAACACGGCCAGGTTCTATCTTCGTCCAATGGTTTATTACTTTAAAAGTATGTACAATAAAATCAGTGGTGACGTTTGCCCAGGGGGTTCGGGTTGTGTCGTGTGTCCGGGCCGGGCTGTTTGGGGTTCCAATTTTCCAGCGTATTATTACAATCTATGCCACGCGGTTTATATATGGTTAGGCTTTTTTGTTTCTTTGGTCGTCCTCATTTTTCATCGTGGGGAGTTGAGACAAAAAATAAATAAACTTTCATCGAGAGTAGGGATTTTTTCCAAACCACTGTGGGACCTCGATCCCATTATGAAGAGTAGTCACTTTCGATCGGTCGAACGATCGAAAGGTTGGAACATGGTAGTACGTCTATAAGGTAACACCTGTTACACAGAGGGTTTTTTAATATTCATTTACCTTTAAACCTTTACATTTGCTATTACCGGCAGGAGTACTCCAATATGAAAGAATAATTTCAAAACTCTGAGGCTTCGTGTATAAATGGATAAGTCCTTCGCGGGTTCGGCGATGTGCAATACATTCGTTTTCTTTTTTGTTTGCTTTATTTCGTTACTCAGTAGACTGTTCGTATGACATGCGACAGAGACTTTGTTCTTCTCGTTGCGAGTAAAAAACAAAGAGATATGTGATATGACGTAGAAGGTGATTTTGAGTTTCGGGGTACAGTCGTGCCCGCTTTGGACTCGTTGTGTAAAGGATTTATAACAAGTTTATAGACACTAAAGCACTTGACATTAAAAGGTGTGTGCGACCAATCAGGGTGTGTAGGAACAGTGTTATTCGACAATCGTGATGTCCTTTGAAGATTACTCCCGGGGATACGTCTAAAGGACGAACACTTGGGTGTAGGTATTGTACGAGAACTAGACTGTTTTTCTAGCTCCTTTTTAAGGTTATAGGGCGTAGTCGAAGTTGTTTTGGACTGGTTACTTCGCGTGTAATTCGGCAGTCTCAGGATGTAAGAGTCCACGGTGTGTCGGATCGAGGCGAAGGTGTGAAGTGTAGCGGCCGTGAAATCCTCTTCATCGACCCGAGGTAC